CGGCCCCTCCGCGGGGCATCGCCGGGTACTGCCCGAGGGGCGAGCGCTACACTTGTGTCCGTCAGACCAAACGGGGCTGGTATTTCCTCCCCACCACCACAAGGGGGGGAAAAAAAGAGTGAGCCGTTTCGGCTTTGGACTTTCTATACACAAACGCCAGGTCCCCACCTCCCCCTCCATCCCCATTATTGTGTTTTTCTCGAGCAGGAGTAACCTGGATGGAAATGAACAGCATTCCTAACAAAGAAATACGCGATAGGAAGTAAATTAGCTGATATATGTAGGCTCACAGACAAGAGCAGCATTACCATGAAGCCTGTTATGCTACTGTATATACCAAAACCCTCACATATTAAATCATTCAATCATTGTTTTAACTCTCCTGCTGCAGTTGTTACAGCTGCTGCAGTTGCTCTGCACATTCACGGCCCATAACCCAACCTTTCCACCTCTGCTTGTTATATGGACTCGCTCCAAACTCAGCCACAGAACAGCAAGTGGGGTATGAACAGTGTGCAAAGAAAATAGCTAATTTTATGAAAAGTCTTTTAAAAAAAAGCTTCCTAATATAAGCCCCTGGATCCTGCCTTCTCCTTAGTTTCCCACTTAGGCAACTATAGCTTCTCCAAACAGCATTCTTCCAAAGTAAACAGCTCCTTTAAATGTGTCATTTTTAATTCAACACAATTTACAATGTGCTGTCAAAATCTAGGATCAATTAACACACCAAAGGAGAATTTCCTCATGTTTTGGTAAACTCTGGCTCCTATTCACATTCATCTTGCACACTGGATTTACTCTACCACAGATAAATGCTCAGGCATCTTCAGAGCCTGCTGCCTTATACCCAGTCATTACCCACTACTCTGTCCTTTCACTCTCAGGTCCTTCTCTTTGGGGTACAACAGCAGAGCCCCAATAGGAGATGATTTTTTTTAGATCCCCATTAGCTAAAAGATCAACTGTTTTTAAAAGAAGTCACCAGAAACCTGAAAACAGGTCATTCACAGCTGTCTGATCAGAGTCACAACAGCATCCTGCATTAAGAAACAAGTGCTGAATGCAATTACTGAGGTGTGCCCCAGGGATAAGTCTGATCCCTAGAGAGGAAAGGATCCATCTCTTCTTCAAACCGCCTGCCAGCAGGAAAGAGCGAGAGGAACTCATCACTCAAATATTAAAAGAAACACACACGCAGTACAAACATACCCAATCACCCTGCAGTCTGCCCCCAGGATCAGACCACAGAGGAAGTCTCCCAAGACTTTTAGCTCTCCATTTCTTTAAGCACAACAGCAAATTAAGCACAATAATTATAGTGGTGGTTTGGGCAGCTTTTTTTTTTTTTTTTTTTTTTTTTTTTTTTTTTTTTTTTTTTTTTTTTTTTTTTAATTAAAGGAAAAGGGGGCAACTATTATTCCCAGCCAAGCTGGATTCATTTATCACACCTGATTTGCCACCCGCCTCCGAAACTGCTGACAGTCAGAGAGGTGAAAAGTTGAAATCCTATATGATTTGAGAGCTCCAGTGGAACCACTAGCAAGAGAGACTGATAACACTGAAAATCCATTGCATGACTGGCAAATGAGGAAATGAATTCCAGCCCTTGTTGCACTGGATTGAATACAAAAAACACACACCCCCCAAAGTAGGGCCCTTTGCCAGTAGCATGCAGAAGCACAGGAAAGCCAGCTCTCTGCACAAAATTCAGGGTAACACTAGAGTACTGGTAACTAAAGAGCTATTCACAGCCTTTACATCCACGCAGGTCTTGCTTCATGCTGTCTGAGCAAGGTAGGGCTCAATTCCACTATCATCACTAACAGCACAGAGTCTCAGCCTTCAACCAAGAGAAACGTGGAGTCAGCTACTGCTGCTCTTAGTCCTCTACCTTATATAGGATCCCAAGAGGGCAAATCTCAGATCTTCCGCACAGATCTCACTGCGCAGAAATAGAGTGGCACTGTTCTAGTCCTGGGGCTCAGCAGCTTTGCCTATTTTGCTCCAGAGCTTCCTCAAGCCAGTCAAAACAATTTGTGCCATCCAGAATTCAGTTCAATTGGCATCTCCTGCTGCTTTGTAACATCTTAAATGGTACTTTCCATAGGAGCTAAGGACTGTCAGAAAGCCCTTCTCCTGCCTCCCTCCAGTCGCTGGGTTTCAAGGCACCATCATTCCCAGTGACCAAGGCTCTTGCTAGTTCCCAAGAATGCAATATAACTTCTCCCAGTACTGAAAAACTGTTTTTACAGGTCATCAAAAATTACTTCAAAGAACTCAAAGCATACATCCTTTAATACCTGGGTGGTGTTGAAAGGCCTACAGGCAGCTCCACATATCAGAGATGAGGCACAGCCTACCATCATCTGGTCTAAAAGTAAATGCTCATGAAACATGGCAGACAAACACAAGAGCATCCTGCATAGCTTAAAGCAAGACACACTTGGACGCACTCTCATAAAAGCGCAAGTAAGACAGCAAGCTGCACAATCCAATACCATGAACTTGCTGGAATGAGCCAATCTTGAGCTACCCCACAGGCTGCACTAACGTGGCAGCTCCAGGCTGTGGCAGGAGAAGAAGAGCCACTTCCTCTGAGAAGGAGGAAGAGAAATGCATGCACTGTTTGTAGGCTACAAAATCCTGTGTCCCTCCTAGGGAACGGGTGATGGGCTGAGCAGCACCTTCCCATGGGCCAGTTTCACTCTACTGGCTTCCTGCTGGACCACAGGCACAGGCAGCTCAGAAACAGAACAGGAGGGCTGGAGATCTGGTTTCTATCTCGGCTTTGTCACCAGCTTGCTTTGTGCCTCAGTTTCCTTATCTGTAACACTGCAGCGACACCATTTGGCTACTTCACTTCGGGATCTGTCTGTGAGCCTTTTCTGGAGGAGGAGGACAGACTTAAATCTTAGGCCAAGTGTGAAAAATTTTAAGAGAAGGTCATGCACCTCACAGAATTTAACCACAGAAACAATTTTTTCTTTAATATCTACTTAGATAACCTTTTGGATTCAGTTGCTAAAGCATGGAGAAGAGCTTATTTACCTCAAGTAAACTTAATGTATTTGTGAAGAAAGGAGAACTTTTCCACATTACACTGAGAAACTTCAGGCAAGCACAGATTCCCACACACTCACCAATCATCGTTTATCTTACTACTTGATTATTTCATCTAAAGCAGTTCTAATTCTTCAAGGCATGAAATATCCACCACAACTGAACTGGGCACCCAAGACAGCAACAGCTAAAATTAGATGACATTTGCAAATTTAGTTTTGAAGTCAGGTATATATTTTGGGTCAGGATAGCAATAAAAACCCCCTGGCAGACAGACAAACATAAAGTTCGCTTATGAAACGCTGACTCCTCTTTCCCACCCTCACACCAGCATAACCACATCCACACTGGAGGAAGTCTCTCATTCTGCCATTCCAGCACAGTTAACATTTAACATTTCAAGGCAGAGTCGCATCTATACGGGAACATCAGGGTATTGCCCCAGCCTAAAGTTCCCAGCATGCACACAAGTCATGTGCAAAGCAGTGTACTGTACAGAAGAGCAAAAATAACGCCAACAAACAAAAAAGCGACAGTAGCGCAGCTGGTTTTACAGCATCTTGTGTATCGAATAGACACGGAAGTAAGGGCTGAACAGGGGAAAGAACCCAGGAATACCAATTTTGAGTCTTTCT